GGGGGGGTGGAAGGAGGAGCCCGGGGGTCTCCACGGTGTGGTCCTGGGGGGCAATGGGGAAGGGGGACTGAGCCCTGAGGGGTCCCCACGCTGTCATCCCGGGGGTACCCCTGTGCCCACCGCCCCCCAGATGCCAGGGGGAGTTGGTGACCCCCAGTCTCTGCCACTCGGGATGCTCCAGGCCCACTGGGCAGGAGCTGCTTCCCGAGGGGGCATCACCTTGGCAAAGCTTTGGATCCTCTGGTTATAAAAAATGAACGGTTTATTCCTACTTTTTGTTGCTTAGTTTTTTTAATAGTTGCTGAATCATAAGAAGAGATTTTATTTTCTCTCTTGTCACATGGAATCACAGACTGGTTTGGGTGAGAAGGGACCTTTCAAGGCCACCTAGCCCAACCCCCTGCAGTGAGCAGGGACATCTGCACCTAGATCAGGTTGCTCAGAGCCCTGTCCAACCTGAGCTGGAATGTTTCCAGGGATGGGGCACGTGGTGTAAGGAGAAGAGGTGATTCTCCAGGATATGTGGCTTTCCTGGTCTCTTTTTTTCTTCCCCTTCTGTTGTTCCTTTCCTTTTCCTCCAAACTCAGAGCAGAAAATGAGGAGGAGGCAGCGGGGACTGTGGTCTAGAAAAGTACCCGGGGAAGAGGCAGGAGAAAGGGGCAGGTGAATGAGGGGCAGGTGAATGATGGGCAGAGATGACGAGGAAAAGATCAAGGTCTAAAACCAGTCAACAGCAAGTTAAAACTTGGGAAGTCAGGGATGGGCATTTCTTTAGCCCTCATCAGGAGATGCTGGTGGAGAGAATTGATCTGCCTTTCCAGCAACACCTTCCCAGACTGCAGGGTCCACACCCCCTTCTTCTGTTCAACCCAGCCACCTCCTGACTCCGTGTGGGTTGGCACTTGGATGAGATGATGACTGAGGAGCCCTTCCAACTGAAATCTCTCCTCTCTTCTTTTCTCTTCTTTTCTCCCCTCCCAGGTTCTCTCTCCCACACACAGCAGGTGGTGGCCAGGGATTGCTGTGCTTCTCGTGAGGATCACTCCCAGAACATCTTCCTTGCTGACTCTGCAGAACAAATACCTGCTCTGGGAGCTGTCTGAGCACCCCCTGTTCCAGGAGGATGGAGATGACCCCAACTGCTTCTCCCCAGGGAGTGTGGGTTGGAGCAGAGTGTCCTGGGGATGAGTGGTCCCTCTTGAGGACCAACATCCCAACAGCAGTGGCCTGGAAAAGAGCAAGGATGGAGGTTTCTCAGCTGCTGGCCCACAACTGGACTTGCTCCTGCAGGAAATGAATCAGCTTAGCTTCATCACCAAACTGCTTCATCGTTTCCAAAAATTCCTGGTGCCAACAAAAAATCCCACTGGACCCTCAGCGACATCAACATCTTCCCATTCTTTCTTCTGTGCCTTTGCCTTCAACTGCTGCCTCTCACCATTGGAAAGCTGCTCCAGGTTGGGATGTGGCTTCCTTTTCTCTGGGAGATGGGATCCTGCTCTTCACCTCTGGCTTCCAAGAATGACAGTAGCAGCCAGGATAGCTTAGCAACAAGGGAGAAGTACATTCACCAAAATCATTCCAGGCTGCTTCTGCCCAAAGGTGATGATAATCCTTGGATCAGGAGCTGCTATGATGGTCATATTGTCAAGGCAAGGAGCACAGCTCTTCACTGACCTCTCCATAAGCCCAGTGACCTGGGAAGGGACAAGGCTCCCATCCGGAGCTGCTTGGAAAATAACAGTTCATAAAGTTGAATAATTTGAAGGAGAAATTCCTATTTCAGATTAGTTTTTTTTCCACTGGGAAAGATTTTGTGGCTCCCTGATGGAATTTCTGGATATTGTCATAAGGAATAAATAATAAACCAGAGGAAAATGGAGAATATTCCACCTGAAAAGAGCTGGAAGCTCAATATTTACAGCACTTGAAGGGATGTTGGAGTCTTTATCCTAGCAACTGAGGTGAGTGGGACAATGCCTGGGGAGATAGTGGCTGATCTTGGTTGTGTCTTTCTCTCCTCTCCATCTCCACTGTGATTTCCTGAAGATCTCAGTTCAGCCCAAAGCAGAACAGGAATGTTTCTGAAATGAGTATTTTTTAAATAGGATATAGAAGAAATGTTCTACTCAGCTGTAGTCACCAGCTCTCTGCAGGTGGGTGGCTTAGACCAAGGCTGGTTTCTTCTTCAGGACCAGCCGCGGTGGGTCTGGGCGGAGCTGTGGGACGTGGAGGCACAAAGGATGTGAGAGGAGTTCAGGCTTGGTAGCCAAAATAAGTCAGTTTGGTGTGTAAATGAATAGGCCAACAATATTTAAAGGTCTGGTGTTGCAGGCTGTTTTAATAAACAACAGATCTGTGAGCAATCCTGTTTTTACTGATAGAACACCTGGGCCTCAACGACCAAGGACTCTCTCATGAGAACCAGTTGATAAAAAGAGAGCTAACGAAGTAAACATCCAAACGTGCCAGAAGAGGAGATGGGGTGGAGAGTCCTGATTGAGCCTGGGCCAAGGAGCCAGTCACTGTTCAGACCGTGGCAGGCTCTAGTACAACTGACCAATCATAAGTGCAACCCTGGGCATGTAAAATCCGGGCTAAGGGTATATAAGTGCCTGTAATTTCTAATAAAGTTGAAGTTTTGCTCTATCAATCATATTGATTGTCTCGCATTCTTCCCTCGCTGGAATACACCTCCACGAGCCGGCCAGGCACACCGACAGGTATCTGTGTAAAGGGTGCTTATGCACTATGGTACCAAGAACTGGAACAATCGTTGTTCTTAAAACACATCCTGAAATGCTATGTATTGCTCTAATTCATGAGTCAAAGTTGCATCATGCCAAAGCTAAAATAATAATATTTAGGTTCGTGTAGTAAAAAAAATCCTGGATTTAAAGAAATCTTTTCCCCTCTTTTTATTCCAGGAAATGTATGCATGAAATGATCAATGGTGTCACCATTTGACTGAGGATTGACAACAATGCTCTCAATCTCCTCCCCCTCCCACCCAGGTAGGGAGGGAGAGAGAGAAAAAGAGAGAGACTTTACTGGATTGAAAACTAAAGTACACAGCTTTAATTAAACACTAATGATAAAAGAAAATATATACAATTATATACAAAAGTGTTCAGGAATGTGCAAAAGCCTCTCACCTCCCTCCACCCCCAGCAACTCCCACAGCACTCTCCTTAGCTGAGAACAGTCCCAAAAAATCCTGGACTGCTGCTGGAGAAAGCACAGAGTTATGAGGGTCAGGAGAGCTCGAGCTTAGGGGTTGATGGTGATGGATGGATGGAGTTCTCCCTGGACGCCAGCCATGGACGGAAGAGAAGGGAAGAAGAGGCAGGAAGGA